AGCGAGAAGATAGATTTCGCCAGGAGATACGAAATTGAAATCAAAAATGGAAACGGATTAGCACTCTAGGAATTCAGGGGACGGATAACGGAAAGATAGCAAATTCGAACCTATTGTTTTCCCAAAATTATGAAGCATTGTGAGACAGATACAAAGAGTCTACATTAATCAAAGACCTACCCACCAAGGCTTCTTTGGATTGAAGGGAGTCCGGATCCCCATAAGGCCGAGGGTCATCATAAACCAAGTCACATCGGCCCATTGATAAGATCATGCAAGAGAAAGGGAAAAGCCGCCTGCCTAACAGGTACTCAGCTAATTCCTCGGTGACTAGGAGACCGCTGGAAAGAAGCTCGTGGCTTTCCCGATAAGCATTTTATGGAACAAACAAGGGAAGGTGTCTACATATTCTAGCCTTCACAAAACGCTAAAACAGCTTTGCGAGCATGGAGAGAAGACTTAGATGATATCACAAGAATTCTTCTAGCCGCGATGGCTGGTCTTCTTGCTCAACGAAGCACTAGAATAAGTAACACAATCATCCCATACACAATGATTCTTCTAACCACTCAAGATCATCATAACAAAAGGATAGACCATGGAGGGTCCAGCGGAGTTGGGAGCACTCGAAAAGACGGATGGAAGAAAGACATGGCTGAAGTAGTGAGTTGCTCTCTCCAGGGTCGGATACGCATTTTATAGCCAGCCCAGGAAGATGAGTCCAAATGCCCATGAAACAGTGTACTCTTGCAAAAGTTTTGGGCATAGGCTCGTGAATGGACGCAAGCGGCAACGAACGGTGGACCCCAGATCAAGATTCTCTACCCGTGACTGTGGACCAATCAGGGATGCAGACAGGATAATTTTGGAATAAAATTTCTTTTATCCCAAAATTAGGGGGCATGTGTTTACACCAGAATTTGGAAGAAGAATTTCAGAGGCTCAAGAGCTCCCAAAATCATGTCAGCAAAAGATCAATTGCGTGCAGACCAGAAATAGTTGATTCAGATGCAAGAACTGGGATCGGCTTTCCTTAGATAATGCCAGCAGATAACGACGGAGGCTACGTTCAGCGCCAGGACGAGACATGGTGGACTCTACGAAAAGAGAAAGATTAGAGTCCAAGTTATCTTAAATTAGGAATGTTTTCATTTTTATGTCAAAAATTGTAACACGTCGTACTAGAATATGATTCATGTCTAGACTCCAGGTATAAATATCAAACCCCAGTCATTGTAGCAAAAACACAATCAATCAAATACAAGTCAATTTACTTTTTTGGCTCCGGTCACCCCTTAGGAGTAGGAGTAGAGTAGATCTCGGTGAGTTCTTCAGCGAGTACGGCTGCATCGATCCGGTCGACCTCCACTGCTTGTCTGTAAGTACCGTCATAGTTTATACCTCTGTTCGTATGGCTGCATCGATCCGGTCGACCCCCACTGCGACTCTGGTATAGGCTAGTTATTGACTTTTATCTAATTCAAGTATGACCTGTGTGATTCTGCCTCATACCCCACTGCTTGAATTAGGTCAAGATCAAGTTATCGGCTCTACCTTAGAATGACAGTCTTTGGTAGATGCATTAAGTTACCGATATTGCTTATTGCCTTCATTGTTTATCTAATTACAGCAATATCACGTTGCTCGATTGAGATTGATCTAGATCGGCCTTATATCTTATTTAACCCATCGTTTGCTAATCTAAAACTAATCTAATCTACATCTTAAACGATGAGTTATGTTTTTATCGGCTGTTTTATATCAATCTTAATCATGCATAGTGTGCGGTTAAGGCATGTTCGATCTTGAGTAGATCTATTGGTTAGCGAGAACCGTTCCATGGCCCGTTATCACGGCCTGTGGGATTCTGCCTCTCACCCCACTGTTAACACCGTGGAGTGGGGATTGTCAGTTGATAGATCCATTCCTGAGAAGGCATGACCTTAACTGTGCGCTATGCCTGAATCAGCTATTTAGCCGATGTCGAATGCTTTCACGAACAGTTCATATCACGATATCGTTGAAGTAGAGATAAGTTGAAGGATATGTTAGTCCCATGATCTTATTATTGTATTACGGCCTGCATGATTTTGCCTCATGCCCCACTGATATGAGTAATGAGTTAGGGTCGTCGAGTCTATTGTTGTTTCTACGGCCTGCATGATTATGCCTCATGCCCCATTGGTCATGGCGATAGATGAGATCTAATATGTTCATTAGATTTACCTTTATTAAATGGTTAAGTGGTGTCGAATTGTTTCTTTATGTAAAAAGTGGTTCGGTTACTTGTAATCATTGGCTCAGTATAAATCAATCATCATCAACATCTTATTGCCATTAATTAAATTATTGCTCGAATTATATCTATCTTGGATGATAACCGATTCTTCTTACACAACCCCATGAGTTTTAACCGATTTATTCTTATGAATACGCCGGAATCGACTATTTAGTCGATCTCCTCTCATATCGGCTCTCAGAGCCGCACATTCGGGATTGGTTGGTAACACCGGCATGTTCCGCCCTTAATTACTGATAAACTTTCTCTCCTTGTCAATTGCAGGGTCAAATTGACTGGCACGTCTCGGGAGGATTGCGCAGGATCAACCACCCTTGCGCTGAAGCTAGGCGGATCTGCTCCATCGAGCGGACCCTTCCGACTTGCTGCGTGTGTCCTCGGCACGGGACGAAATTCTGTGTCGATAAAAAGTTAACCTTTAGTCCCGGTTGGTAGCTCCAACCGGGAGCAGGGGACAACCGGTAGCTCCAACCGGGAGCAGGGGACCTTTAGTCCCGGTTGGAGCTACCCACCGGGACTAAAGGTTTCTCTAGTCCCGAACGCGAAAAATATCAGGACTAAAGCTAAATTTCGAAGTGGATCAAAAGTCGTTTCTGTACTAGTGTGGTTTCTCCGTGAGGGTCGAGGAGGCGGCGTGGGCTAGGCTAGAAGAGACGGGGCTTCTTTTTTTGGCACGATTTCTATCGAGGACGTGAGTCGTGCAACATGTGAGTCATGTGGAGGGGAAGGAAGTCAAACCAAGGTAGAAGAAAACGATCTAGACAAACGAACACACTTTCTAGATATATGCTCCACAAACGAGAGGGGAGACTGAGAGTATTTCTATGGTACATGGAGAGATCCACCACAAGTCCACAAGCATAGCCGTGCACGATACACGCCCAAAAGGCCGGACAAGCAAAGTGTCAACCCGATTTGAGACTGTGACGCGACACGCCACATAGGAGTACAAAACAATCGTATCACGTAAACCACCAAGACTCCCGAGAGATCCATCACGTTCTACACAAAAAGAACGTCGCCCAACTCCAGCATTGAGGTATTCCGTGCGTAAACAGCGGACATATGGAGCGAATGCGCATATTCGTCATGGACAAGCTCACGATCACGAGCATAATTGCACGGGTGTACAGTGCACATACAAACGGCAAATTGAGACGCAAAAGGGATTTGTGGCTGGCCACGGCGCCACATGGCCGCGCTCGTGCCCATGGCCCATGCGCTGCGCGATGGGGGACCGCCTCCCCTGCGCACCTACCCGGCCGGCGGCCGCTCTCGTCCACCGGTCCACGCACGCCCGCACGGCTCGGCTTGGCTCCACCACCGGGTGTCCGGGCGTCTATCAGCCGTGGAATGAAGTCCGTTGGGCTCGTGCAAAACGTCTGTCTGGTTTGCATCACCAAACACCGCATTGCTCACGTCTCGTCTCGAATACTCGAATGATGCAATGCTGAGCTCATCCAACGGACTCTGGACAGTATCAAGCACCGTTGAGCTTGCACTAGCTACAGAAGTTGATGTCCCATCTTTTATGGGGTAGTAGGTGCAAGTGGTGGAGCCAAGATGAGCACCTCGGGGGCTAATCAATAGAGATTTAGAACAAATATCAAAGATTAATGATGAAATCATGTTTTTTCTACAGTAAATACAAAGCAAAATCACTCTCACTAGTTTGTCGAAGCTTAAAAATTGCACTGAAAATGTTCACCACTTGCTGAAGCTAAAAATCGCACTGAAAAGACTGAATAAAGGAACACATTTAAACACCCTCCCATCATCACACTTATCTTTCTTGACTGGGAGTTCATACCCTTGAACTCCTGAACTTAACCCCGGTATGGATCATGATTTCCCATCACATGTAGATTGAACACGAGGGCTTTGTTCATCTATACGTTCCATGTACTCCCTCCATCCTACAAAGATTGTCATTCTCACTTGCCGATAAATCAAACAATTTTAACTTTAACCAAAGATATATAAGAAAATAGTAATATTTATAGTGCATCATTAGTGTTATTAGATGAATCGTTGAATACAGTTTTATAGGAAACTTATTTGAAGATACAAATACTGGTAATATTTTTTACAAAACTAGTTAAATTTAAGAAAGTTTAGCCAACAAGCATCTTATAGTGATATCTTTTTTAAGGACCGAGAGAGTAATGGTTAAATGGGTAGAAAAGAAAGGTAAAAATAGCCACCACTCCACCAGACACTTGGAACTTGGAGGCGAGTCAAAATCAAGCTCTCACCCACCCACCAATAACATTTTCTTCTACTAGTCAATTCTCACACCCTCAAAACCATAGAGGCCACAGCCACAAACCACACCGACGCTTCAAGTTGAGGCCCAACCAACCAACAAAGAGCACCGGCAATCATTGCCGGCGAGGCCCAACCGTGTACTCATCACCGGTCACCAACGCCGGCATCCCACTCCCACCAAACCCTCTCCGGCTCTCCAGTCCTCCACCGCTCACGACAGCCCTACCTACCGCGTCGCCGTCAATTTTAACGCCAACTCCCCAGTACCGCCGGTTCTCCTATATATGCGCACGTACATGTCCGTTGGGCTCTCCAGGAAGGCAGGAAGAACCGCCGTTCCAGCGCGAACACACAGACACAGGTAGAGTCAGAGGCACACAAAAACCAGTGAGAAAGGCAGCGAGCCCGCGCCCTCCATCTCCGCCCCGTCGCCATGGACCTTCTCTTCGTGGAGAAGCTCCTGGTCGGCCTCTTCGCGTCCGTCGTGGTCGCCATCGCGGTGTCCAAGATCCGTGGCCGCAAGCTCCGGCTGCCGCCCGGCCCCGTCCCCGTGCCCATCTTCGGGAACTGGCTGCAGGTCGGCGACGACCTCAACCACCGCAACCTCGCCGCGCTGGCCCGCAAGTTCGGCGACATCTTCCTCCTCCGAATGGGGCAGCGCAACCTGGTGGTGGTGTCGTCGCCGCCGCTGGCGCGGGAGGTGCTCCACACGCAGGGCGTGGAGTTCGGCTCCCGCACCCGCAACGTGGTGTTCGACATCTTCACGGGGAAAGGGCAGGACATGGTGTTCACCGTGTACGGCGACCACTGGCGCAAGATGCGGCGCATCATGACCGTGCCCTTCTTCACCAATAAGGTCGTGCAGCAGTACCGCCCCGGCTGGGAGGCCGAGGCCGCCGCCGTCGTCGACGACGTGCGCGCCGACCCCAGTGCGGCCACCGAGGGCGTCGTGCTCCGCCGCCGCCTGCAGCTCATGATGTACAACAACATGTACCGCATCATGTTCGACCGGCGCTTCGAGAGCATGGACGACCCGCTCTTCCTCCGCCTCAGGGCGCTCAACGGCGAGCGCAGCCGCCTCGCGCAGAGCTTCGAGTACAACTACGGCGACTTCATCCCCATCCTCCGCCCGTTCCTCCGCGGCTACCTCAGGGTCTGCAAGGAGGTCAAGGAGACCCGCCTCCAGATCTTCAAGGATTTCTTCCTCGAGGAGAGGAAGTGAGTTCCTCCTTTTAATCATCTTCAATTATTCCATTGTTTTGTTGGGCCAGCGAGAGAGTGAAAGCGCAACCAGAACAGGCAAGCAGGAGTCCGCTGGGTTTCGTTCGCTTTTCTTTGTCGACCTGGCCTGTACGAGCCTGATGTGCTCACTCACGTGGTTGTCCGTGTCGTTGCGTGTTTCTGCAGGAAGCTGGCGAGCACCAAGGCCATGGACAGCAACGGGCTCAAGTGCGCCATTGATCACATCCTGGAGGCGCAGCAGAAGGGTGAGATCAACGAGGACAACGTGCTCTACATCGTCGAGAACATTAACGTTGCAGGTACATACATACAGACTGAGTTAACCTCGCTTCAGGTTTAGTATGACAAAGATTGCCGCTGAAATTTATTAGCCTGCAAGTTTACGTCGTATACTTCCAAGACGCAGCGATGGCGCCGTGTGAGGCCCAGGAAACTTAGCTAGGTTTTGTCCACCTGACAGTCCGCCGGTCAAACACATGATGCTACTTCTAGTAGTATACACTGTGCGTAGTAAACGGATGAACAATTGAATTTCTAAACATACTGGTCAACGTAAAGCTTCCTGGCCTGTCAAACACGTGATGCTACTTCTAATATAATTGTGTATTAAACGGATGACAATTCAATTTCTAAACATAATGGTCAACGTAAAATGTACCAACGTGCTGCAGGCTTAATCTTGCACTCCGCTTGTGATTAGGATGCTTTCACCTTTCTAATTTTTTGGGTGAGGAAAGTACTAGTAGCATTTAGCAACAAATAGTGTTGGCTGTAGGCACCAAACTAGTACAGAAGACGTGTCCAGTTTTTCAACATCCAGTGATTCAGCACGTACAGTAGTGTGTGGCAACACGAACAGCCTGTAAAACTCCTTGACGTGATAGCCCAACGTACTGGTACCAACCAGTGTGCCCACGCTGTCCGTGAACTGCATTTAACCATTTTGATCGCTCTCGCTCGGTATCAATCAGTTTTATCACGGAATTGAAATTGGAAGTGACGGGAGCTCATGAATTTGAATTTCCTCTGCTCTGTTTGTCATCTGCAGCGATCGAGACAACGCTGTGGTCTATCGAGTGGGCGATCGCGGAGCTGGTGAACCACCCGGAGATCCAGCAGAAGCTGCGGGAGGAGCTGGACACGGTGCTGGGGCCGGGCCAGCAGATCACGGAGCCGGACACGCACAACCTCCCCTACCTGCAGGCGGTGATCAAGGAGACGCTGCGGCTGCGCATGGCCATCCCGCTGCTGGTGCCGCACATGAACCTCCACGACGCCAAGCTCGGCGGCTACGACGTCCCCGCCGAGAGCAAGATCCTCGTCAACGCCTGGTACCTCGCCAACAACCCCGACAGCTGGAAGCGGCCCGAGGAGTTCCGGCCCGAGCGCTTCCTGGAGGAGGAGAAGCACGTGGAGGCCAACGGCAACGACTTCAGGTACCTGCCCTTCGGCGTCGGCCGCAGGAGCTGCCCCGGCATCATCCTCGCGCTGCCCATCCTCGGCATCACCATCGGCCGCCTCGTCCAGAACTTCGAGCTGCTGCCGCCGCCCGGGCAGGACAAGCTCGACACCACCGAGAAAGGAGGCCAGTTCAGCCTCCACATCTTGAAGCATTCCAACATCGTGTGCAAGCCAAGAACGTTCTAAGAGCAGCACACACGACACGATCACACGATCCATTGCATTTTCATGTACTACTACTTTTTATTATGTTCTTCCGGCTTAATTAAGTATAGCTACCTATCCTAAGTATAGGAAGTACTAGAAAAAAGCTCTGGATATGGATAATGTTATTTGCAACAGAAGGGGATGAAAGGGAGAAATCTGATAATTATTCGATGAAGCCTTCAATTCTTGAACTGTCTCGCAAATTTTATCCCGCGCGCTTTCCCTAGCGACCATTTATCTACTGCTCCAGAAGCGATGCAGTTTGTTGTCGCACACTCGATGACTTACTGAAAAACAAAACATGTACATTCTTATTCATGCAGGATATTACAGCTTATAACCTGTACAAAGGAGAGTGGTATTATTTAGGTCTTCTTTTGATTCAAACAAAGCAATAGTTGGCAGACAGCCCACAGCCCACAGCTGTAGTGGTCGCCAAAAAAAAATGTAGTGAATGTTCAGTCCCTCCGAACCTGAACTACCTGTTTCTCTGGTGTAGTGGTGTTCATTGTTTCTTTTGATTAAATAAAAAAGAATTTACTAGTGTGATTTTTTTAAACAAAGACAGGACAAAAGAATTTATGTACAAGGAGGTTCGTCAAACGAGATGTCTACCGAGCACCGAGTGGTTAACCACCCCACGCGACGCGGTTGAGCACAAACACGACACACTGCCATGGGTCATTGTTGCCGAGCATGAAAGCAAACACATCCAGCAGCTCCGACTTCCGATGGCAGGCCACCCACAAGCAACCTACCGATGGGTCGGAAGCAGCTCCGACTTCCGATGACATCCCACCCACAAGCCACCTACTAATGGGTCAGAAGCACGAGGCCGCAACCGTCATAGTTGTCAAGCTCAAACAAGAGCAGCTCCGACTGCCAGTCACAACCCCACACTTCGCCCCCAACAAATGCAGACTCTTTGCAGAGCCCCAACCACGATGAAAGGGGGCTGCCGCGTGTCATCGTTGCCGAGCCAGGTCCCAGACGCAGCAGCACCGACTTCACGTTGCAAAATCCGCCTCCATGCGTCCACCAGGCGCCAAGGAGCACAACGCCGAGGGGGACATTGAAGCCGCGACGACGATCCAGATGCAACGCCTGAGAGCGGCGCCGATGGCGCCACCGTCGCACGTCTACAGAGGGCTCAGTTTTCACCCTTGGATGATAATGCAAGAGGGTAAGACATAACGCTCCCAATAGAGAAAGCAGCGCCCACCGGCATCGTCGTCGCCAAGGTTTTCGCCCAAGAAACCCTCTAGCATGAACGCCGCCCCAAGAAGCCGAACCCCATGACTGCCAACGTCGTCCTCACCATTGTCTCGCCGCCCCGCAGAAGTCCCTTTAGAGGGGCATCGATGCACCGGCTACTCGTAGCAGCCGTACAGCTGCGTCAGCTGTCGCCCCCTCCGTCTGAGCAACTAGAAGAGCCAGACCTAGCTCCACCACACAGCTCGCGTAACACCGCCACACGTCGAGGCCGTCGCTGAACGCCGCCGGCGGCACTAACACACGAGACGCATGCCCCACCAATACGTGCGCCGCCCTTGCCCGCCTCCGTCCTTGGCCGCACAATTGTCAGGCTAGCCACCCCCGGGCGTACCCAAGCCACACGTCGTGGGCAGCCCTACCTGACGGTTGCCGGCTAGCGCCGCAGCTGCCATCGCCGTGGGGGAAGGGGCGGGCGGAGGAGAAGAAAAAAAGAGCCCTACCGCCGCCGCCACAACCGCCATGGGCCGCCGTGCCTCCCAGCCAGGGAGGGCCAGATACAGCCGCCGGGGTTCCGGATCCGGCCGACCAGGCACCGGGTCTAGCTTCCCGGGCAGCCCAAGACGAGCGCCAACGCCGCCATTGAGGAAGGAGGAAAGGGGAGGGCGGAGGTGGAGACGAGCCCCGCTGTCGCGACTGGCCGCTCGGACTCTGGCCCGCGCCGCCAAAACCGCAGGGGGTGGCTCTGCCGAGCCCCGCGCGGCTCGAGCTTGACCGCGCCTATTGGTCCGCCACAAACCTGCGCCACCACGCTGCCTAGACATGAGAAGAGGCCCCGCCGCCGCCATCACGGCGAGCCGCGCGGCCCTGCCGGCGACAGCGTGGCAGGAGACAAGGACGGTGGGGGTGGCGGCTAGGTTTGGTGGCCACCGGGTCGCCCGCGCGGGGGGGGGGGGGGCAGGAGGCCAGGTTATGAACCCATTATGATATCTTCGCTGAAAAGGCAAGTTGAAAATTGTTGTTCGCTGATTTGTTGTGAGAGAAAAATACTGTTCTTTCGCTGAAAAAGTACGGCTGAAAAGACCAGCGAAGAAGGCCAATACGCCCTCCTTTCAGTTTAGTGTGATTTTTTTAGTCCTGTGTCTCAGTTCAAGTTCAGTGCGCGAAATAGATTTGGCAAGCTAAAGTTGTTACTTTGATTTTTTTAGCATAACCTACCCCACTCTTGGTCTATTTTCCCCCATGGTATCCAAGGAATAAACGCCATTCTATGATGTGTCGAGACAAAGGCTATTTATTCCGGTCAGAAACCACATCCAAATCAAGTCTCTTGAACTACCTTTGCATAGAGATGGACCTCATGTCGGATGAGCGCACTTCTCATAGTTTCAATCGCTCCACACCGAAGGCTCAAGGTGTCAGCAAGACATAAAGGCCTGAGGCACCAACAACATCGAAATCACGTAGAGATCAAGGGCATCACTCCTACTACGCTCCTCAAATTACTATGTCAGGGCCAATCACTAGAGTTCGATTAAGACAATTTACATTCAACTGGCTAAGTTTTGTGTCAGCTCGGGGACCTAGAAAAAGGTAAAAATTACATCACTATAGTGTATACCATACTTTACAGTTTTACCTATGTCCTGAGAAAGATGCTAGCTATAATCACATGTTCGCTTGATTATATCAACCATACTTATCAGTCATGATACAATGTTTTTCTCTCATAATAAAACAACATCAACCGACTTATAAGCCATATAAACGATCAAGCGAACGGGGTGAATACTGCTTCACGCTAAAACAAACAAGTTAGTTTTTGCCATCTTTTACAAGCTAAAACCAACATGATTTATTTGGTGCGGATTTGGCCCATTTCAATGACTTATGCTAGCACGCGTCATGTATTTGATCTCTCATACTTTCCTGGCTACTATGACAAAATTGGAGTGTCCAACATACTTTTATTCCTAAGGTTTTGTTTAACTATATCTGTATTTGTCTTAATCCATATGTGTTAGGATAGATTAGGGAAAAATTGACTATACAAAATTAGTTAATTTTCTATCTAATTCATCTCAATACAATGAATTATATATTAAAGGTGGACACGAGTATAACTAAACAAGAGTAAAAGATAAAAGTATTCAAGTGTGTTGAGCACATGCTTACCTAACGTCTTCCAACACTTGCTTCATCGGTACCAAAAATGTGTATTCCCTCTATCCGGGAAAGGAAACAATTCTACCTTTCCGAGATGAACTCAACATGGTTGGACAATTATGCATGTACCCTTAGTGGTGTTGACAGTGAAAAAGCCTGTAGCCTGCCATGAGGAGTGCGGACGGGATGGGGAGAGAGCAATATGTGGATAGAATCATGCCAATAAGTGGGCAACTCATTTCTTTTATAGCGGGTTCTATGATGACATTTTACAGACCTACAAACTAGCTATGCACTGGTTACAATTGCATGCTTTTTTGGACAAAAGGCAACACACTAGGATTGCATGCTTTCACGGACGGAGGTACTCCCCTCCGTCCCAAAAAAATGTTGTTTTTGATTTTGAGACATCTTGTTTGACCATTCATCTTATTCAATTTTTTATATAAATATAATATATTTTGTTATGACTTATTTTATCATTAGAGATTCTTTAATAATGATTTATTTATTTTATAATTTACATAAATTTTTTGAATAAGATAAACAGTCAAAACACGATGTCTAAAAAAAAACGTCACTTTTTTTTTTACTGAGGGAGTACAATTTTAACAGCACAAATCTCGAGGTGCAGCTTATATGCTCCCTGTCCGGCTGTCCCTCCTTGTCTTTTCTCCCCATAGAGCGCTCAAATTAATCTTGTCTCCGGAGGAAGCTTACTTTTCAAAATACAATGGCTCAGAACTAACTCACACGTGCATGTTCATTGCAAACCATACAATTTGTTGTGTCAAAAACTCAAAATAGTCGCATACTATCTCGCAATTTGCTAGAATGAGTTGTGTGCCTGCGCTCCTGCGTGTCTGTCTGTCCAGCTTCAGACTCTCTCACGAGTCTAATCATAGGCCAGGCCAGGGGTAAAAGCGAAAATATTTCTACGTTCTCTTCCAGGTGGGCCCCTTTTCCTCCCCTTCTTCCCCTTCTCCCCTCACCCTCTCCCTCTCCCTCGACGATACACTTCTCCACCGCCCCGGATCTACCTCGCCGCGTCGGCGCGCAGCTCATCCACCGAAGCGAGGAGGCAATCGAGGCGGACGAAGCGCCGCACCAAATTCGACGGGGGATCGAGCACCGGAGGCTTAGTGCAAAATGTTCAAGTTCCTCAAGGAGGTGGTCGCGGGATCCGGATCGGGCCTCAAGGACTTCCCCTACACCATCGGCGAGCCCTACGCATCCGCCTGGGGCTCATGGACACACCACCGCGGTACCTCCAAGGCACGCTTCCGCATCATTCCACCCCTTCCCACCCGATCGATCAGTCCCCCTTAGATGTGTCGTTGTTTTGCTTCGTCGACTGGTACGATTCGGTAGAACTGGTTCCGCTGGTCGAATTCGGGGAGGAACGAACTGTGCACGCTATGCTTCGCGTGTACTTTGCTGTGTGGTTCTGTGCTATGTGGCTGCATATGCTCTTGATTTTGTGGGTGTGCACTTTGTAGCATTTTGAGCAGTCGAGTGCTGTTTTAGGGTAGGTGTGACTATGTTGGACTATTGCTAGCTTTAGTAGCCCTCCAGAAGCATAATTGCTGGATTCGTTGTAG